AAGTTCTGTATCTTTCTGGTGTCTGTTGTGATGTTTCCTCTTTCATCTCTGATTTTGTTGATTTGGAGGTGCTCTTTCTTTCTTTTGGTGAACTGGGCTAGTGGTCTGTCAATCTTGTTTACCTTTTCAAAGAACCAGCTCTTGAAATTGTTGATTCTTTATATTGTTTTCTTTGTTTCAGTTTCATTAATTTCTTCCCATGTGAGTATGTATCCAGACATAACTACAGGAACAGGTTTCGTTTGCTGCTGCTTTTCAAGTGTGTTGAGTTGCAGTGTTAAGTCATTTATTTGTGTTCTTTCCGATTTTTTGATGTAAGCACTTAGAGCTATAAACTTCCCTCTAAGGACCACTTTCAGCATGTCCCAGAGGTTTTGTTGTGTTGTATTTTCCTTTTCATTTAATTCCAGGAATACTTTTATTTCTTTCTTAATTTCTCTTTTGACCCATTCATCATTCAGGAGTGTGTTGTTGAATCTCCATGTGTTCATGTGGTGATTAGGGCTTCTTCTGGTGTTGATTGTAAGCTGTATTGTTTTGTGGTCTGATAAATGCATGGAATAATATCAATCTTTTTGTATTCATTGAGGTTTGTTTTGTGCCTCAGTATATGGTCGATTTTGGAGAAGGTTCCATGGGGTGCTGAGTAGAAAGTATGCCCTTTGGTGCTTGGGTGGAATACTCAGTAGATGTCTGTTAAGTCCATTTGATATATGGTATTGTTCAGATGTCTGTTAACTCTCTGCCCTGTTGACCTATCTAATGGAGACAGTGGGGTACTGAAGTCCCCTAATATAAAATGAGTGGGGATTAATTTGGGTCTTTAAAGTCCTGAGGTTTGGTTTTATGGAAGTTGGGAACACCAGAGTTTGGTGAATATATGTTCGTGATTGTAATATCTTCTTGATTCATTGTTCCTTTGATCAAAATGAAGTCACTCTCTTTGTCCCCATATTAGATTTAGTTTATAGTCTATTTTGTCAGATATTAAAATTGCTACATCGGCTTTTTCTTAGTGCCATTTGCTTGGTATATTTTTTTTCATCCTTTCACTTTGAGATAGTGTCTGTCCTTGAAAGTGAGATGAGTTTCTTGCAGACAAAAAAAATGATGGGTTTTGTTTCTTGATCCATTCATGTAGTCTGTGTCTTTTGACTGGGGAGTTCAGTCTGTTAATATTTAAAGTTCTTAATGAAAGATGAGCATTGAATCCTATCATTTTTATTTCTGTTCACACTCGATATAGCTGTACTTTTCCACAGTTATACCTTCATTGGATTTCTTTCCACAACCCCTTGGGTATAGCCATTCCTTTCTTCAGCTCTTTGTATTGCTTCTAGAACTCTCTGAAGGGCTGGTTTTGTGGACACGAATTCCTTCAGCCTATTTATGCCATGGAAGATTTTTCTTTCCCCTTCGACTATAATATACATTTTGGCTGGGTATAGTAATCTGGGTTGGCATCTGTGGGTATTTAAAGCTGGGAATACTTTGGTCCACGCTCTTCTGATTTTCATAGTTTGCACTGAAAAGTCAGCTATAATCCTAATGGGTTTTCCTTATGTGACTTGTTTATCTTTTGCAGCTTTCAGTATTGTCTCTTTGTTCTGAACATTTAGTGTTTTTACTATGATGTGCTGTGGAGAGTTTGTTTGGTGTTCTAGTTTGGTGTTTTATATGCTTCTTGTATTTGTATGGGCATTTCTTTAATTTTGGGAAAATTTCTTCTATGATTCTGTTGAAGATCTGGTCCATGCCATTATCTTGGGATTCTTCTCCTTCCTGAATGCCTGATTCATAAGTTTGGTTTTTTTACAGTGTCACATAATTCCTGAATATTCCATTCTTATGATTTCTTACATTTTTCATAATCTTTGCTTGAGTGGTCTAGTTTGTCCACTTTATCTTCCAGTCCTGATACTCTGTTTTCCATTTCGTTCATCCTATTGGTGAGGCTTTCTCCTGTCATTTCTATTTGGCTTATGGAGTGTTGAGTGTTTCACTTCCTTTTTCATTTCAGCCTGAGTATTCTTCAATATTTCTAGCTCTTTTCTGAATTCATTCAGAAGTTTATCCCTATCTTCCTTCAGTTCTTTGATTTCTTTGTGTGTTCTTTAAATTCACTGAATTCTTTATCATGTTTATAATTGTTGAGTTCCATGTCCTGCATTATCTCTTGGGGGTTCTCATTGTACTCTATTGGACTATTGGTATTTCGTAGGGATATGTTATTTTGGCTTTGTTATTTTGGTTATTTCATGTTATTATTTTTTCTCTTTGATTTTGACATGTGGATTTCCTTTGTAGTTTCTGATTCTTGTGTGAGACTCAGGCCTTCAAGTTTAGGTCTGCTTTTTTGTGAACTTTATGTGTCTTTGTGGTTTACATTTTGGGCTTGAAAAGCTGGTTCATCTAATCTTCAGGTTCTCTCCTTTGATTTTATATTGGAGTGGCCAGATTGCTTTTATCTTCAGGAGTTCCCACAGAGGCCTAAGTTAGATGAGGATCAGATGCTCTCAGGCTTTCTCCTAAGGTCTGGACTCCCTTCAGGAAAGATTTTGGCCTCAGGAATTTCGGGGTTGGACTTCCTGGGAGCCTGGCCCAGGAAAGATGCTGGTCTTGGGCAGCTGGTGGCTGTGCCACCCAGAGATTCAAAGGCAGATGGGGGAGGAAGCGGCCCCAAGGACTCCTGGGGAATGCACTGAGGAGCTGGGTTGGTCTGGATGCAAAGGATCACGAAGAGGAAAGGTCAGCCCCTGTATCCAGGAAGGAGGCTGGCAGTTGGTACAGGCCCAGGGAAGCAGAGGGAAGTGAGGGTGGGGCCAGGGCAGCAGCAGTGCTCCTGGGGACTAGAGAAGGCCCTGAGTTGGTCTGGATGAAAAGGATCCGGAAGCAGTAGTGGTTCCCCAGGTAGTTTGGGGCCCCAAGACAAGGAATGGGACAGGACCTGGGCTAGGAGGAGAGACAGGCAGGGGAGAAGGGAGGGTGAATTAGGCTGGGGTGTCAAGGCGGGCAGGGCACAATGCACTTACCCTGGAGTGAGGCCCGCCGGTGGGAGAGAGGCCTGCGGGTCCTGCAGGCCCAGAGAAGCGAGCTGGATTTTTCTTTTTTTTTTTTAAATTTTGGAGCTAATTCATGAAAACCGTTTGAACCAGTACCTCACTCATTGTAATGGTCAATTCTAAAATGCGTTCATTAATAACTGATTTAATTTAGACTTAAGTCTCATTTATGTCCTTTCTGCCTGCAGACCCAAATCTTTGAAACAGTCATTCTGACAGGCACTAGCAATGCGCACCGTTGTTTTGCTTCAGCTGCTCCATTCACATAAACTAAACCTTGCCATGATGTGTAAGAAATAATAGTCATGCCTCAGCCAAAAGTAAACAACCTGTGAGGATCTAATAATATGTCCTCAAACGGGCTAGATTTTTACAATGTGAGCAACAGTCAGTCACTCAAGTACTTGATCCTTTGACGAAAACATCCATCTTTCCCTCTCTGGACCTTTCAACTCTAAGGGAAAATCAGTGTGATGGCCAGAGAAGTACTCGCGCTCGCCTTGTTTCCATGGAAACGTTCTATTCTGGTGCCAGCCCCATACGCCGGAAGTCACCTTTCCCACTTCCGGTGCCGCCGGAAAGTCCCGGTCTCTCACTTAGGCATCAGCGCTCCCGGGACGAATGAATTTTGGGCGGAAGAGGCCGCCGTCGAGGGGAGTGTCCACGTAGCGCGCAGAGGCCGCGTGTCACGTGGGAGAGATGGCTGCCGATGCTGGGCTTGCTTCCACCATTCCTCCACCGGGAATTCTGAACCTCAATAACGAGGTGAGCGCAGGGCCGAGACCGCGGGCTGCTGGGCGGTCGGCTGGGGTACGGGGTGCCGGGCGGTCGGCCGGGTGCGGGGTACCGGAATGTCTGGAGGTCGGCTAGGGGTGCGGGCTGCCGGGCCGTCGGCCCGGGGTGCGGGGCCTTGGTCGGTCGGCCGGGGAACAGAACTTGACCACAGACTCATCTCGGGCTCCGGTGTCTGCGCGCTGTAGAAGGGTCATTCCACCTTTGGATCTTCAGTGGTCTCTAAGACCAAGCTCGCGATAATACCTTCCTCATGCGGTAGATTTGATTTCCTAAGTGCTAAGTGCCTGGCCCTTAGTAAACTCAGTAAATAACGCGTTTTCTTCGTTGTCAGAACTGGAAGGGAGACTTTTCCCCAACAAATAACAGATCTTGAATGAGATCGTGTATGCTTGACCCGGCTTCTTTCTCCAGATACCGCCCTGTTTGTCTGTTTCCATTTACAGCAGAACTTCACCTGTCCCCAATTTCCCTTCCATTTTGTTCTTTGAAGCAGGGTATCAGGGTGTAGACTAGGCTGCCCTGGATCTCAGAGATCCACCTGCCTCAGCCTCTGAGTGCTGGGATTAAAGGTGTGAGCACCACCACACTCTGCAAGAAAACTGTTCATGGGCTGTTTTCCATTATATTGTCAATGAGAATATGAAAGATCTTCAGTTAGATGTCACTGGGAATTCATAGAAAAGAGTAGTTGCATTTATGTCCAGTTTTGATCTTGATGGTGGTAATGAGAAGGAATCAGTCCTCTAAGGCTCTATTGCTTCACAAACTTTTAGGCTTTTCCAAAACGACTAAAGTTTGACCGTTTGGAAGTATTCACCAACTCACTGTTACGAAAAAGCTTTCAGGTTTTGCCCTGCACACACACACACACACACACACACACACACACACAGGTTCTAGGATATTCTGTGCCCTATAAATGTTTGCTGAATGACTGAATTAATATATCAAGGGTATACATATCCCAAATCAAAACTGTGTCCTCTAATGAAGAGAATGAATAGCACAGGAAAAAAAGTGAAAATGATGGTGTTATCATCAAAAATTAATGGAAAAAACTACAAAGACAACAGATATGGTAGTGAATCATTTAAGAGTGAGCACAAGTTCTGAAAAACAAGGCATTTGATAATTTTGTCCTTGGAATAACAGACACAAGCGAAGATGGCTGTGGTGTTATTACCACTTGGTGGTAAATTCTTAGAGGACTGCTGTCTTGTATATGTCCCTTCAAAACATCCTATGTAGCACATGACTGTACGTATATCTACATAGAAGTTGAAAAGCCCACCAAACAAAAGAATAAAGACTGTTGCCTAGAAATAAAATGGGCAACCATGACAGGCAAAGGGCTAATGTCATTATTGTGAAATAGCTCCTCAAAATTAAGAGAAGCTGTCTTAGGAAATGGGCAGAAGAAATGGATCAACAACTTTCCCAAAAGGAAATAGATCTGAAAAAGTTCTGTCACTACTTCGCATCTTTTATTTCCTGTCACTGTTGCTATGCTAGTCTAAATCTTACCTCCAAGTAAAACTGCTCTCATCTCAAGATGGTGTAAGTGGACTCATCAGACTTAGATCTTCATAACTGCAGCTGTGCTTTCATCAACAGAAATGGAATCAGGTCATTTCCATGTTTTAAAATCCACCGGGATGCTTTTAGTTAAGATTAATCAAAACAACAGCAGTCCCTCGATCTTGTAGCCCTGTCCCCAGTCTGTATGTTAAAGCGGCAGTGGCTTCCCTCTGGTCTAGCCCACTGTCGGCCCTTTGCACGTGCTAGTCCTGTGTCTGAAACTGTCCTTACTCATCCTTTTTAGCACCTTCTTAAGGAAGCCATAGTTAAATTTGATTCATCCCTATGTAAGCTCTGGTAGTGTCGTTTCGTCCTTCTCAGCATTTACATGAGTGTATAAGAAAGTTCATGCATTTACATGTGAGTATATGTGTGTGAGATTTCATGCATTTACATGGGAGCATATATGTGAAAAATTTCGTGCATTTACATAGGAGTGTGTGAGATTTAATGCATTTGTATATGAGTGTGTGTGTGAAAGACGTTTCATATCCCTCTCTGTCTTTAAATTTAAGTGATCCTCAGTATCTTAAAGTAGCTCTTCCCAATGGGTTCAGGGAATATTTCGGATGTTCTGTATTTGTCTCATAAATTTTTGTTGTCTCTCTGGGAAAGAGTACTTACATTTTATCAAATTTGCCAAGATTTATAAATTTCTATGGCATTGTCTTTGAGATAATAACCATAGCCATGGTTTATTTGATTCGTTATGTAATATAGATTTTTTTTCTTTTTAAAAAGCATAGCATGGCCTGGGATATAGTTCAGTTGTCAAATGCTTATCTAGTGTGCACAATGCCCTTGGTTCAATCCCAAGGGCTGCCAATAAATGAGTGAATAGATGAATGAATGAATGAATGAATGAATACTTAAATGGTATATAGCAGACTAGTTTTATAGTATATTGAATTTCACATAATGTCTTGTGAAAAACTTTTTCCAAGAATAAAAATCACTTTTTAAAATACTTCTAACTCCAGGTTCTTAAGATGCATTTATTCTTTTACAGTAATTAAACTTTTACCTTTGCTTTTTGCTTTATCTTATGATCGTTATGTACTTTTTTCTTTGTCAGATTATAGGATTTTGAAGAAAGATACTTAGTTGTCTTGCTGTACCCACTCGCCACCCTCTAACATGGGTCCTTGTCTAGAGGTAGTCTGTTGGAATGGTGAAAGTGTTTCTGGCATAAATTGTGTCAGCTAATGTTCAGCCAAGAAAGCCCCCCCACCCTTCCCGGTCTCTTTAGAACTAGAGAAAAAGGATTCACAGTTGAAAGGAACTATGCTATAGCATTTAATCAGTAAAGAATATACAGAACTACAACTGGTTTGATCATCTCTTTCCT